AGGGGGGAAGCTTACCTGCTGCTGCTGCTTCCTCCTCCTCCTGCTCTGCGTGGAGCCCTCCCCCCCCATGAGTATCGTGGCTCCCCTTTCTTGTATAGTCTATGCTTGGGTATGCCTCCCTAGTATGCCATGCTGTAACTGCGATAAAGTTTTGTTGAGATATTCAGTATACAAAGCAATACTATTTAAACATGTCAACTAATCCAGGGCAAAGTGTTACTCTAACAAAAGTTGTATTAACCTGCATTTGCTAGACTGTTTGCCATCACATATAATGCATAAAATATGTTCACTTTATAAAAAGAAAAAAGAATTTTTTGATGACTCAAGCCCAATATTTGAATAATCAGCAAGAGAATTATACCGAAGAGTTTTGAAGTCCACTTTAATACTTTATTAAACAAAAGACATAAACACCTGGTTGTTTTGAAGTCTCTCAAAGCTGTGGAAATATATTCAGACAAGTGTTTTTCCATTAATGCTACTCTAATCCAAGCTCTTCCCTGAAAAAAAAGATATCATCAATTAAATTTTTTAAGACTGAACACTTTTCAGTCCTATTACAGAATTCAGAATTTCCAAGTTGGTAAGTAGGTGGTGGCATACAATGACTACAGAAAGGGGAATGTGGGCCAAGCCGGACAGCTGCAGAACATTCAGTCTTAATCAGTACTCCCCCCCCTCACTCCAATACACAAGCATTCCATTCACTCACATATCCACATTACAATCTACATTTCATGTATGCATATGCCTAGATATCCCTTTCCCTAATCACACACCACAATATAATTTACCTCACTGCACACATATCTATACATCACATATGTATATTATGCAAAAAGAGTCCTCACATATTAGTCACATGCACTCATATCACTATGGTTTAACGTTGGCTTCTCTTTATGTTCTTATTAGCTTGGAGAAATGATGGCTAAGGGGTGACATGATCGAGGTTTATAAGATTATGCATGGGATAGAGCAGGTTGAGAAAGAAGTACTTTTCTCCCTTTCTCACAATACAAGAAGTACTTCTTCACCCAAAGAGTGATTAACACATGGAATTCACTGCCACAGGAGGTGGTGGCACCTATAAGCATGGACGGCTTCAAGAGGGAACTGGATATACATATGGAGCAGAGGTCCATCAGTGGCTATTAGCCACAAGGTATAGATAGGAACTCTCGGTCTGGGGCAAGTGATGCACTGTATTCTTGGTGCTTGGGGGGTGCAACAGTGGGAGGGCTTCTAGTGTCCTGGCCCCACTGCTGGACCTCCTGATGGCACCTGGTATTTTTGGCCACTGTGTGACAGAGTGTTGGACTAGATGGGCCACTGGCCTGATCCAATGTTGGCTTCTCTCTCTTATGGTGCAGTGAAGGCCATGAATCTTTTTGTTTGGATGGATGCTACTCATTACTTTTTCAGCACTTGTTGAGAAGTACATGGATAAGCAAGGAGACACAAACTCAGAAGCTGCCTGGGAAGTATGTTACCTTCTCTTCAGTCCATTTCTTCTTCATCACATTTCTTATACAACAGTGGACAGAGGCCACTTGGATTCCTGAAATTTGTGTTCCACTATTTAATGAGTTAAGCCTGACCTGAACCAAGCTTCCATCTCAGAGCTCAAATTACTCATCTGCCATCTCAGAGTTTAAGGTTTCCTTGCCTACCCATTCTTGTGCTACTACTCTAACACTAGTGGTAGTTGCTAGGAAAGTCATTCATTAATCTTGAGAAGTCACACATGACATTCTAACATATGGAAGTCCTATTTTGGCAGCTTCCCCTCTGCACTAGAGTCATCGCTTTGACAGTTTCCTCTGAACTTTGAGGAACTCTTTAGTGATCTGACTTAACCCGGAAGTATTTAATATGCTTGTTTAACAGTTCCTGACAAATCTGGAAATAGGATACATAAATATGCAGTAGTGCCCAATTCTTACAATACCCTAGCCATTTAATAGATTTTAAAAGTGGTTTCTGCTACATTTCTGGGTTCAAACACTGATGTTTTGCAGCATTTCCGACAGTTTTCGAATACATTCTTCCATTGCTAGTTTATCTAAGAAATACTTTAACTTGTATGTGCTAGCGCAACTTCTGTCAGAATGCCACATGCAAATTTTCAAGCAACGTCAAACTGCTTTTAGTATAACTGAACATATTAAATATGTCAGCACTATCAGAAGCTACCTCAGAGGTTTTCACCTTATATTGCGTTCCTCATTCTCTAGCACTGAGACAAACTGTCTAACAGTACAGCATTTTAGTAACAGCATCAAATCTACAGGACTTTGTTAAAATAGCAACTTAATATATAAGTTCTACTTCTACAGTTCACTACTGCAAGTGGAATAAAAAATTAAACAGGCAATTATATTCTAAAACACAATCCACATAGTATCTTTTATTATGACCAACCAACCAGTGTATGAGGTATCAAGTTCACCAGAAATGTTACACTATAAGGCCTACTGACAGTATTTCTCTAAAACAACAACTACAGATAGCCATTGCATACATTGTGCAACACGGTCATATCCATTTTATTTCAACAGCAAGCGAGGCATCATCTGTACATACTTTGGACTCGAAAGTTTAAAGATCAGTGGTGCTTTCTGACCTTAGCTCTTGAAGAACTGACATTTTCCATATTCTCAATGCTGCAGATGCAGTTGTGTGAAACTTTACGGCAAGCAACCTTAATATAATCCCAAAAACTACGAGGGCTTTCATAGCCAAACCAGGAGATCTGACCTAAATCAGTTATCAGAAATAAAGAGAGAGAAATCATTAAAACTGATGATATTTTATGTCATCAAAGAACACGTGCCTATTGTTGGGAGGGGGTTATGCTAGCAAACTTTTAAGATACGTGGCACAGGTTAATGCTAATTACAATTTGTAAGTCAAGGAACCGCACAGTCTAATGCACTCTGATGCACTCTCTCTGAAAGACACATCATTCTGCAATGGGTGTAAATTCACAAGGCTACCCCTTGCAGGTGTTTCTCAGGACAGCACAAATGCTGATGGCAAGAAGGGTAGATGCTCCATATAGCAACTGCAGCACAGGCAAGCTCACTGCCTTATCCTTCTTAGAGATACGAAGTTGTTTGTGCTCTAGCAAGAAGAAAAGAACATACTCCCATGACAGAGCACTCAATGTCAGCCAGCTATTTCCATTTCTTGGCATTGAGAGTTTGTCCCTCTTCTCCAGTTGAGCTACTCAGCATCATTCTGTTGCTTGTACCTGTAACAATTTATTGATGGTGATGACAACCACGCTTTGTTGCCTCTACCTGTGTTGATGGCATGAAGGAGCTAATGAAAGAGTTAAGGCCTGCCTGTGTGGATGGCATGAAGGAGCTAATGAAAGAGTTAAAGCAACCAAGACTTTGAGGGTTAGTTGCCCACGTGGACAAGCCACAGAAATACAGCCTACATTCCAACAAACTAAAACATAGAGGGAGAAGTCAGCGCAAAGGGCAATCAAATAAAAGTAAAGGGGAAATGTGAAACCAATTCACCTGGGCTGGCAAGTGATCCAAAACTAAGATGGACCCCAGCAATGTAGATGATAGAGAAGTCTATTCAGAAGCAGATATTCAACCAGCCGCTGACTTCTCAGCAGCAGGAGCGACACCTCTCACTGTACAAGAAGAGGTTGTTTGGTTATACTGGCTTTTCCAAGTTTAGCTACCAGGGCTTCTAGCATTGCGCAGTCAGATATGATCAACCCAATAAAAGTCAGCTTTTCCCATTATCTTCTTCAGGGGTCTAAATCCAGACCCTGTTGTTCACTTTATTGAAACTTGGGGGGGGGCGGTTAGTAGAGATGGAGGACCAGGTTCACAGAAAGTTTTGTGCAATTTGGTGAAAAAAAGCTGCTCCAGAAAGCTTGCAATTTTCCCACACAGGAAATAACAGGCAGACATCTGAGGTGAATGAAAAAGGAAATTTTCCCTGAAATGACTTTTCAGTATGATAAAAATACTTCTGAAAAGTAATGAAAACAATAAATCATGCCACTTTTGAAATTATGATTCAGAACTAAATCGATAATTTCTCAAATGCATAACCCTAATGTATTCCTTAAAGGAAGCCTGCAATCCATAATTCGAGGACAGTACTATGAATTTCAGTTTGAGTTCTCCAAGTTCTTCATAGATCTTTATGAAAACTCATTACAACTAAAACACATTAACCCTCATTTACACTGGAACTGCTGATACACAATTAGAAAAAGACACTGTCCCAAAACATACAAAAGTACAGATTATATACCTTTGAGGCGATGACTTAGAATTTGTTCCAAAATAGCTGCAAAATTATTAAATTCTGGGGAAGAATCATCAATAGTTTCAAAACATGAACGATCAATCAGTGTCTTGACAGAAAACCTAGGATAGAAAAAACATATTTAGATTTGCTGATTCGATACCACATAATATTGTAAGAAAAGGCATGCCTTGGCATTAAAGTAAAATTCTCTGCTAAATTTTAGAGCTTTAATCATAACCAATAATATTAAAAATAGTGATTACAATTTTCTCATACATATGATTATCTGCTGCACCCCAACTAATACACCCCATATTTGAACTGTTACCTTTCACTTCTGTGTTTACTCGACATTCTTGCTGTTTACAAAAGCTCCTCAGACCTGGACTCATAAACATAGTATATCTATTGATATCAAACTACTAGTAGACTAGAAACCATAGTAGTCTGTCACTCCTTTGTTCTTTATCTGTCTCCAAGGCTGTTGAGTTTTTGTGTCTGTTAAGTGCCGTCAAGTCGTTTCCAGCTTATGGCAACCATATATATTAATAACCTCCAAAAAGTTAACAGTGTTGCTCAGGTCTTGCAAACTGAGGGCCATGTCCCTATTTGGCATGTTTACCTGAGAGACCAAGCCTGCCTGCAAAAGCATCCACCATGATTCTTTGAGTCAAGACCAGCAACTGCTTCCCCATATTTTTGGTTATATCTGTGACATAAAATTCAGTCATCATGGTTCCACAAACTATACATTATGTAAAGCATTTTTGTCTGTCCCGAATCTATTGCCTATCAATTCCCAGTTTTATTAATTTCCATCATGTCCCCCAAATAATCTTTTCCCTAAACTGGAAAGCTTCAAACTCTTTAAGCCTTTCATCATCATTTTGGTTGCCTTTTTTTTTCTCCTTTTCCAGCTTTAAAGCATATTTTTTTGCAAATGAGTTGACTAACTGCACACTGTATTCCAAATATGGCCACTTCATAAATCACAATGGCACTATAATGCTGGCCATTTTATTTTCAGTCCAATTACTAGTTATTCCTAGCATAAAATTTGCCTTTTCTCACTGTTACTGCATACCAAGATGTTTTTATTGAACTATCCACTATCTGTCCTGGACAGTCCACTGCCTCTTCCCATGCAAATGTAAAGTTAGGCTTTTTTGCCCCAATGCCCATCACTTTATGCTTACTTACACTGAACCTTATTTACCATGTTAATGCCACTCACCAAATTTGGAGAGACCCTCCTGGAGGTCATCAAAATTTGCTTTAGGTTTACCATCCTCATTTGGTGTTATTTGCAAATTTGGTTCCTCAGCTGCTCATCCTTATTCCACATGACTTATTAAACAGAAGTAGTCCTAATATAGATTTCTCCCCACCCAAAAAAAATTACTCCTACTTCCCTTCATTGTCAGAACTTTCTATTTACTCATTCCCTCTACCTCCTACGAATCCACAGGAGGACCCACAATCTTATTTCTAGTTTATTCAGGAGCTTTTAGCAAGGCACTTTATTGAAAGTTTTTTGAAAATCCAAGTATATAATCTTTATCAGTCAACCCTTATCAACATGCTTAACACTCAGAAAGAACTCCCAAAAGGCTGTTGAAGTACAACTTCCTTTTTTAGGAGCTGTACTGATTCTCATTCTGTGAGACTTTTTCCTACCAGTTTATCCAAAGCAGATATTAAGCCAATTATTATGCTTTCACAGAACATCATTATGCTTTTGCAGAACTTATCTTTTTAAAAAACAAATCAATGTTACATAATATTTACTATTTTCAATCCATTGATAAAGAAGCAATAACAAAATGCTGAACATGTTGAATTATCTTCTTCAGTAGACTGTGTTCACTGTTAAAAAATGTCACCAGCTACATCACAAGCTCTTCTCAAATATCCTAGGAGTTTACTCCCTACATATGAATAATATCATTTTATCAAGCCAGCTATTCAAAGCCACTGGATACAATCTTTGGCTTATGACAACTATTATGCCTACAAATAATGAACTTCTACATTTACCCAATATTGGGAACATATCATTATACTGTTGCCACTGCCAGACAAGTCCTTTTCTCTTTTCTCTCCCCCACTCAGAGACAGACAGCAGATATAGCAGCCACAGCATTACACTGTTCCCCTCTAACCAGGCAATATAATGGACTGTGTATGTATACATTTCTGGCACAAGAGAGCTCTCATGTGCAACAGCTGTAGTGCTGATTTGCTTGGTTGCCTGGAGGCCATTTTTACTTGCCACAAATCGCCATGCAAGGTCTTAAGTAAGTGATGTATAAGATCTCATCCATCAGGGGCAGGTAAAAGAATTTGGGAACTAGGTCACTGATTTTTCGATTTTTTTAAATTTAGGGGTTTTTTTGAGAGAGCACCTATGCATCTCATCTTCTTACAGCAGTTTAGTTGTCAACTTTAAAAGCATGAGGCATTTTTACACAAACTAGTTAACAGGACACAAAGTTGCAAAGACAAGGCAGATACTGAGTAACATGGAAAATGACAGTTTAATTCTGTGAGGCATGTGATTGTTCTGTGGAGTTAACATTACTTACAGCATGGTCCTTCCAGTTACCCAGAACATTCTTTTGTCAGCTATGCTGCCATGGGGGTTGGGGAGCTCAGTCTGTGTCTGATTAATTGCTACTGCATTCCTTTTTATGCTTTTTATGCTTTGCGACAAAATGCTTATCTATACAGATGTGCAGGAGGGAGTTGTATTGTCTGGGTTTTTCCTAGGTGCCGTGGGAGAGTGTTGGTTCTCAGCTTTAGCTACCTAATGGTCTCCAAGCTTTATCCTGCGCGTGGGAGGGTGCCTAATTGGCCAGTGCTCTGGGGGGGTGCATACGAATACCCTATATCCTATTATGCCCATGGGGCCGCCGCCATTCCTAACAGTGCTTATGTTACTGCATCTATAGCTCTGTAATAAAAGTATTACCATTCCTGAATGCGTGTACTTTGTTGTTGGCTGTGGGTTCTGACATCTTTTAACTACCATTATTCTGATATACACACAAAACACAAAAAAGTCTGGGTCTCTTGATGGGAAATAATGCATGTTCCTGAACTGCTATATGCCCTGTTCCTAAAATAAAGAACTGAATGAAAGACAATCCAATCAAAATGTTACTGTATAAGGAATGATCCTAAAGCATTACCAGTCCTGTTTCTAACATGCAGAGATGAATTAAAGGAGATTTTAAATAAAATGTAGGCAATTGAAGATGTTATAACAATAGTACCATTTGTATTTTGCATTTTAGGGCCAAACCAGAAGACCCATGATCCAATCTCTTGGCATTTTCATTGTTTACTTCGAAGCAGTTGCTGGGGGCTGCCAGTTAGATCTGAACAGTGGTTGGCTCTGGAAATGGGTTTTCCCTTAAAGACATTTTCCAAATCAAAATGAAATGCTCCAAGGTCCTATTAACTTTGCTAGGGGAAAGTTACAAGACTTATTGTAACCATAAGCTGCTAGGAACTAGTTATAATGATATTACTTGCCTAACATTTGTACAATTCAGCATCAAAAATCCATTTAAGGACAACATATAATCGAACTGTTAAGACAACATTAAGTATAAAAAGCAACGCAAAGTATATCAATCCTTGTTTCCCAATGCATGTACTTATGACAAACCTACTAGTTATACCACAAAACACCACGGATTAGTACCCATGTGTTTTGCAAACCCAGAGGTAAACCTGCAGTGGGTCCTAAGTGAACTTAGGAAGGCCATTAGGAGCATTGCTCTCTTCATATTGTGCTGCCTTTGCTCATCCCCACACTCTTCCACAATTTCCCCAACATGTCACCATTAAGAAATTTCAGTGAAACATGCCTCATTTGAATACTAAGCTTAAAGACTAACATTCAGCCACAGTTATCTCAGGGCCACTTCACATCAAAAGATGCCTGCATGGGTGGCGCTGTCACATATTTATTTATGTTGCAGCTTGTTTTAAAACATATGATATGCTTCTTAGTTAAAGTATTTGCAATTGTTTCCGTATCTATGTTTTTGTTTTTCAGAAGATGGGGCATTAACTAGTAGAAGCTATATAATTTCACCCTAAAATTGCATTATGTACTAAAATCAGAATAAACTGACCAAGTTTTTCATGCTTCACAGATCAGTGTGTTTACATTGTCCAGACTGGTATTACGGGTAGCAGATTACATACAAAAATGCTGACAAATTCTTAAAACAAGACCTGTGAGTGCAGGGTCCCTTCCAACTCTAACATTCTATGATTCTATGATCCAGGCCTACCTGGAACTGATGGCTATTACCTTAATAGCACAGCCTCTCCTGTGCCACCTAAATGGTTACTCAATAATGAGGCTAAGGCACTCAATACAGGTTATGACATTAGCTAACTGGTGATAAACAGGATAACAGACCCTCAGATTTAATGGGCTCAGAAAGGCTAGAGAGTTCTAATTTTGGCTCTAACTTAAATATCCACCTTCACTTACCATGCCCATTTCCCACCATTCTCACTCTAGTCCAGACTATCATTGAGACCATTACCAGAGACTACTGGGCAGGCCTTTTTTCCTTCCAGAACTTGGCAGGTCCTCTGAATTAAGAACAACTATAGGCCAAGAGAAAAATAAGAAATGCTTTGGATCAGGGCACTGGGGCTTTCCAGACAGAAATTCCCCCTTTACAAAGCATCTATTAACCACAGCAGGAGAAAACAACAGGCTCTCTCAATTAAAACTGGGGATTGCTGGGTGGTGAAAACCCATTATTTAGACAGCAATGGGAACACTGCTGAAGCATAGCACAGTGTAAAGTACGGAAGACAGCTAATAGAATATGAACAGGCTTTGGCAGCTGTGCAGACCTGTTGTTTAAATGGGGCAAAATACCAGGACCCAAATGCAATTGTGGTTGGTGTTGTTGTTCAGTCGCACAGTCGAGTCAGACTCTTCACGACCCCATGGACCAGATCACGCCAGTGGTGCAGCCCATCAAACAATGTTCCATCTGTCACAGGAATGTGATCGTCATATGCTTTCCAGGGAGATGTGATGGAGCTCTTTGAACTCTCCCCAGCTGCAACTGAGCGGATTGAAAATCTAGATATTTGTATTTAGGAGAATTGCCCAATCAGTCTGCATACCCATAGTATCAACTCGGTTACATATTTTATGTTATTATATACTTCCTGTGCATAACTCTGCCATACCATACATAAATAATGATGGGAACAATTGTAAAGTCTGTGCGGATAAGCAGGTTTCCATTAGGCTTCTTGGAGGCTAAATGCAAGGGGGCGGGGAAACTGAGACAGAAGAGAACAGGACCAATCCACATACATCAGACCCCCCACAATCTATGAACCTAACATGGGAAACTGTCACGAGACCTTACTTTTTTTCTTTTTTTTACATCTAACCGCGCATGCTATTTCCTCCCTGATTCTATCTAACGAGCAATAGCCATTCGTTTATTAGCGGCGCTAAGGAAACAGCAATAAAGGAAGCACGCCGACGGGATGAGAGATGGAGGGGAAAGGACGGCTTTCCTATTCTGGGCACGCACTGCAGGTCGACTGACAGGAACTAGTCGTCCCCTATCGCGGCTTTTCCACCCACCAGCCTGCCGCCTTTGCAGCCCGGGCGACGGCACGGCGGACCTTGCTCGCGCGGGCTCTGGGGGCTGGAGGCACACCTGGCGGTCCCCTTGATATTTGCATTTAGGAGAATTGCCCAGTCAGTCTGCATACCCATAGTATCAACTTGGTTACATACTTTATATTATTATATACTTCCTGTGCGTAACTCTGCCATACCATACATAAATAATGATGGGAACAATTGTAAAGTCTGTGCGGATAAGCAGGTTTCCATTAGGCTTCTTGGAGGCTAAATGCAAGGGGGCGGGGAAACTGAGACAGAAGAGAACAGGACCAATCCACATACATCAGACCCCCCACAATCTATGAACCTAACATGGGAAACTGTCACGAGACCTTACTTTTTTTCTTTTTTTTACATCTAACCGCGCATGCTATTTCCTCCCTGATTCTATCTAACGAGCAATAGCCATTCGTTTATTAGCGGCGCTAAGGAAACAGCAATAAAGGAAGCACGCCGACGGGATGAGAGATGGAGGGGAAAGGACGGCTTTCCTATTCTGGGCACGCACTGCAGGTCGACTGACAGGAACTAGTCGTCCCCTGTCGCGGCTTTTCCACCCACCAGCCTGCCGCCTTTGCAGCCCGGGCGACGGCACGGCGGACCTTGCTCGCGCGGGCTCTGGGGGCTGGAGGCACACCTGGCGGTCCCCTTCCCATGCGCGCGGCTGCCGGCGCGCGAGGGGCCGAGGGGCGGGGGGGAGGCAGCTGCCCCGGATTGAAAGAGACGCCACACACACACACACACACCGCCCTGCCTGCCCGGGCCGGAGCGCGCTCACCTGCAGACGGTGATGAGATTCCGCCTCTCGACGGCCGCGTTGCGGGACTGGACGCTTTTCCTCCGGGAGGCGGCGTTCAGCCCCCCGAGGCCGAAAGACGCCATCTGCCCGCGGAGCGCAGGGCAAGTACCCGCGGGGTTCCGGCGGTGGCGCCTTTGTTCCAGCCGGGAGGACGGATGCCTCCCTCTCCCTCGGATAATAACTCTTCCCCAACCCCCTGCTTCCAGCGGCGGAAACGTCGCCGGCCGCCTGGTGGTCCTGAAGGGGGTGGGCCGCGCTCACTTCCGCGGGGGCGGCTCCGTGCGCGTCTCTCCCCCTCAAGCCCGAGCTTTCTCCAGCAGCTGAAACGGCGGCTGCACCTAAAAATCGTTTCAGCAGCGGCAATCGCCGGGACTGCAGAGCACCGGCTTCGCCAACCAATCGCAAGGCAGGAAAGGCCGGGAGGGGCGGGACTTGAACTGGGACGTGCCTCCTTGGCGAGCGCGCGCGTGTTCTCCCAACGGAAGCAACTGTCAGTGGGGAAAGAGGGGTGCGAACAAGGGGAGATGCGCAGGCGAGGCGAGAGGGCGGGAGCCGACGGGGGCGGTGAGGGGGAAGAAGAGGGGTGAATTACAGGAGGACGAGGTTCGTGAGGCAGGGCTCCGCTTCCTTTCATGACAACCAGTTTGCAGCAGTCGCTCCTCCTCCATCACCACCGCCCTCATAATCTCACGCTTCTGTGTCCCTGAGTCACACTAATCCTTAAAAGAAAAAAGCTTCTCTCTCGCGCTCGCTGACACTACCTATTTTCTCAGCAAGTAAAAGCATATACTCAGAATTAGGGGCATCTTCTTATCTGCCTTGTAAGGGATGAGAGAAATGAGTTTATAAATTGCTAAGCCCCAGTCATCAGAAAAGAGTGTAAATTTGGGCAGGATTCTACCTTAGGGAGGGAGGCGGCACACCCTGGTAATTACCAGCAGCTGTAAGGTTTCGTTATCTAAAGGGAGTTTCAGCAGATAGGATTATTATTCTTACAGGACTGCACCAGAGTTTGTTTGGAGTCAATGTGATGAATAGTCCTGGAAATCGGCACAGATCGCCTTCACAGGCTGACTTGGCTATGCAATGTGCTGCGAGGAATGATTGATGGAAAGCTGCAGCTTCCTTTTATGAATGGTCATTTTATTTTTGTAAGTTACATATTTTACTGCCAACGGCTTCCACAGGGCTGATTTCTGCTCTGCATACAGCCCGTGAGTGTGAAGACTGTCTTATCTATTAAATGAACTGTTTTAACAAATATTTTCCCTGCTACTGGGAGCTGCGTTTGTGGTTGCATTGCTAATTTGCAAGCTGAAGCGAACCCCCAAGGTCCGTCAGACCTGATATGGTGGCAGCGGTTGTAAAAAGATTATAGAACGCAATCAGCAGCACTAGTGGAAGATGTGTTACAAGAAAGGAAAAGAAAGCACGGCAATAACTAGATTTTGTTCCTCCTTACTAAAAAGAAGGAGGAGGGAATGAGCCAAGGCAAGAATTCAGGAGGTGACACTAATGATTGTTATGATGAAGTTAATGGGATGGAAGAACTAGGAGCTTTTCCTTGCATTTCCAAGGTTTGTTATACTATTATAAAGTCTTGATTGGATCATGGGGTCGCCAGTAATGGCTAAGCTTCCATTTCCCTACCTGGATAATGTTTGGGGACAGAGCTTAAACTGGTTAGGGCCTGGGAGTTAGAAGACATTTTATGGGCTTCATTTTTTTTTTTAATCTAAAATGTACCACTCTTGCAATGTGTTTACCAATGTGTTACCACTGAGCAATAGATAATACCAGTTTGGTGTAGTGGTTGTGTAGACTCTAATTTGGGAAAACTGGGTTTGATTCCCCACTCTTCCACATGCAGCTGCTGGAGGACCTTGGGCAAGCCATAGCTCTCTCAGAGCTGTTCTTGATAGAGCAGTTCTTGAAAGAGCTCTCTCAGCCTCATCTACCTAACAGGGTGCCTGTTGTGGGGAGGGGAAGGGAAAGGAGATTTTAAACCAATCTGAGACTCTGAGTGAAGGGCGGGGTATAAATCCAATCTCTCATCTTCTCCGTCAGTTCAGCACTGGATCAGCTTCTTGCAGTCCAGGCTACAAATATGCTCCATGAGCACAATACAACAACCAGAACTGCATGCAGAGCATATAAGCAAGGGATTCCTAGCCAACTACATCTGTAATGTACATGAGCACAGCATATCTTTAAGGAATCAAACATTTAGAAGACATTCCAGAACACATTTATTCATTTTTCCCAGTGGGTAATGTCAAAATGCAGAGAGCAGTCTCGTGGACAATGAATTGATCTATGACAGAACACTCAAAATGCACACAGAGCAGACTGCTGAAGTGGAATAAACCAAGAGATTATATTTCACACATTGCTCAAGGTATTAAGGATGTGGAACTCACTCTAGAAACATGTATGTATTTCACCGATGTATAACCTGCTCTCATAGATACAGACACAATCACACACAGAGGAAAGAGCTTGTGCTCCTCTGGTCTGTTCAGTACTCCTCCTCATTTGCCATTTCTCATACTCTTCCCAATAACCAACTCCCATTTCTGAGCCCAAAGTACCAAGCAGGTGGGTGAGTAAACCAGACTCAAGCAGGGGGACAAATGGGTAATAATGGGACTAGCCTAGTGCTTGTTTTCCTCCCCTAACCATGGTGGCGTGTTTTGAGACTGATTGGGAACAGTAGCCTAGTGAGTAAGCAGCCTCCTTCTCACTGCCACTGATGGGGATGGGGAATATTTTACATGTAGCATCCCACATAGGTATTATAGATCATGTCCCCCACCCATGCCAGTACACTTGTATGCTCAATGATACACACATTTGCAACATAAAAACAAATTACAATTTTACAATTCTCCTTTTTAAAATTTAGCTTTCCTTGGCTATCAGCCCAGAGATTCCAAATGGGCAGAGCCAATAAAAAACAGACAGTTGGCAACCCTAACTGTATAGGATATGTCATGCATTAGTTTAAATTTTCTTTCCATCCCAGTTTCACTCACCTTTGGCAATTGTTGCTTCAGGTACACCTATTGCATATAATGCAAAATGTCCAAAGGTGATTCAAAGCACCTGTTTTGAGACTGATTGGGAACAGTAGCCTCCTTCTCACTGCCACTGATGGGGATGGGGAATATTTTACATGCACCATCCCACATAGATATTATAGATCATGTCCCCCACCCATGCCACTACACTTCTATGCTCAATGATACATTTGCAACATAAAAGCAAATTACAATTTTACAATTCTTCTTTTTAAAATTTAGCGTTCCTTTGGCTGTCAGCCCAAAGATTCCAAATGGGCAGAGCCAATAAAAAACAGACAGTTGGCAACCCTAACTGTATAGGATATGTCATGCATTAGTTTAAATTTTCTTTCCATCCCAGTTTCACTCACCTTTGGCAATTGTTGCTTCAGGTACACCTATTGCATATAATGCAAAATGTCCAAAGGTGATTCAAAGCACATGTACAGAAAAGACTGTGAGTTGTGTGTGAAAATGGTCCTTACACAGAACAATGACCCCTTGGGGGTTTCCATACAATATCATCTTGAGCTGTTCATTCAGAAGCAAATCTCACTGTTAAGTGAACCTTTCATGATGGGAGTGTGAAAACACACCACTACAGTCGCAACAAGCCGACCAGGAACAGTTATCCGTACACCACATTCCCATGCTACTGCCTTCATCTCCACTCCTTTACTCTCCCTCTTTTCCCATTGCACTTGGTAAAAAAATGCAGAGGCAACAGTGATTCCACTGAGAATCCCCTTCACAAAGCTACACTGGAAAGCTACAGCATGGTTCAGTAGGTAAAGAAAGGAAAGGCCTTTTAAAGGGCTAGAAGGAAGGGAATGGCATGCAGCAGCACTGAGGTGTTGCTGCGCAATTTGAGAAGTAAACCACTCCATGGATTTTCCTTTGAGCCAGATTAAAACAGGGTTTTCTTATCGATTCTTTAGGGGAAAACGTCTGGGAAAACCATGAATTGTGTTCAGCATGAGCACAACATGATGTGGCTGTTCCTCTTTCATGCAGGGGCTTCCTGTTGTGCTTGGGGGAGGGAAATTTCAAGTAACTATGAATGGGATTGCAGCTTTAAAATTCCTTTGATTAATAACTGAGAAATCTGATTCCTGGGTGATATTTTATTTCTGTTTGATGTGCTTAGCTAGCTAACCAGTGTAATATACTCAATTTTCAAATTATTTGTTTACTGACCCAACAAATCACATGGATGTTCGCTGTCTATCTAATGGAAAAGCACTGTCATGGCAAGTAACTCTGAACTCTTTCCTCTTGAAGGAAGTATGGACTGTAAATAAATGGTATTGATCAGTGTTCTTGCATATGTACAGAAAGAGACAAAAAAAATCAATTTCAGTATGATTGTTGTTTTGTATGTTCAACAGTACCATCATGAGCAGAGTTATTTCCTTTCACTTAAATGGACTTAGAAGGGTATAACTGTATTTAAGATTACACTGGAAATTAATTATAGTTACCACCTTATTGCCCTGAGCTAGGTGCCACCTCTGAACATCTCTTGTCTTGTCTGAACATCTCTTGTCAACTATATGAGGTCTCCATAAATTAGCTGCAACTTGATGGCATTTTCCACCACTACCACCATCTTGTTGAAGCTTCTCACAGAATGCTGCCACTTGGCTATTAGCAGGAGCTAGATGGAGCATGCATATCATTCCCATTCGGCAGATGCTCCATTTGGCAGCCCAGTTGTTACAGGGCTCAAATTAAGTTATTGGCTATCACATACAAATAGGGTTGCCATGTCCCCTCTGGCTACCAGCGGGGATGGGGGGGTATGGTTGCCAGCTCCAGGCTGGGAAACTCCTGGAGATTTGGGGATGGAGCTTGGGTACGACAGGGACATTAGTGGGGAGCCCAACCTCCAAAGTGTCCATTTTCTCAAGGGAAACTGATCTCTGTAGTCTGGAGATGAGCTGTAATTCCAGGGGATCTTTAGGTCCCACCTGGAGGCTGGCATCCCTACGTACAAAGCCCTTCATGGCCTTGGCCTCTCT